TTTTTTTTTCTTTTTTTTTCCCTTTTTTTTTTTTTTTTTTTTTTTTTTTTTTTTTTTTTTTTTTTTTTTTTGAATGTCGACTTTTAATGCAAATGTTAATGCTGTCAATATTATATTTGACATCAAAAAGCATGAAAATGACATATTTGATATGCTATTCTATTTTGTGCGTCATTGTATCATGTCATTTTAAATATGATTTCTACTTTTTGTCATTATTATTAAGTTTGAAATTACCGAAAGTGAACTTTATAATTTGAAATTGACAATGTTGTAATGTATAAATGCGAAAATGGTTATTAATGTGTGCATTTTGGAAAATACTTGTGGTTACGGATTTTAAAAGAAAAAAATGTATATTGTTAAATAATGAGTCAGCGTTCAGAATGGAGTAATTTTATGTAATTTTTCAAAGAGAAAATTAATGAATTCACTCTTTGAATTATTATTTACTTTTGATTAATATATTTTTCACTAATATAATTCTTTAACTAAAGATTATTAATTAAAAATAAAGGATGAAAATTTAAAATTTATACATTTTAAGAGGTATTTGTCTCTTTTTTTTTCCTATTCAAAACGAGTGACTGTATAAGTATTGTTTTTAGATGGGTCTATTGTAAATTCTTTTTTCCTTTTTTCACAATCTTTTTTAAATCACAATCAATTAAATTTTAATTTTTATTATTGCTTAGTATTTCAAAAATATCCTATAATTAATATGTATCTTTTTCCTTTTTTTTTTCCAACACACCAATCAATCATTAACTTCTGCTAATCCAATCAATCGTTAACTTGTTTTTAATTGGGCAATTGTTTTCCTTTTTCTAGTTTCTCCTCCCAAAATTCTGTGTCTTATTAGTTTTGATGAGATGGACAACATATACATGTTTCTCAACGCGTGAAATTGTACTAGTGGAGGTAATGAAACAAATAATAGCTTTATTTGTAATTTTGTATTTTTTTATAATTGACTTTTTTTTGGCTTGAAAAAAGTTATAATCTTTCTTTCAATGTAGTAATGTACCGGTGGAAAAAAAAAAGACTTTCCATCAATCTTTCAATGTGATATACAAAAACTATTAATTTTGTTAATATAATATAAAATATCCGTACACAAAATTTTAATTAATTTATTTTTAAAAAATAACCAACAATGAATTCAATAAGAAAGTAATTAATTGGTAGTATAACCGGTAGTAATTATATTACTAAATAATTGTACAAGTAATTATAATATTTTCTAATTAACGGGCACTTTACATGAACAATATAAATTTTAAGTTCGGATTGACATATGCTAAGAGACATAAATTATTACAGAGAATGTCAGAACCAAAAATACTTAAAAATCGTAAAATCTATAAAAATCACACACACACACATATATGAAAAATCACAAAACACTTACAAAATTCAGATATAATGAATCAAATACACAAAAATATAAGCATAATTTTGCTTAGTATATAAAACTTAAATGATGTCATTCTGGTATATTTGTAATAGTTTTAATATCTATCCAACTTTAAAAATCAAAGTATATTACCTAAATATCTCTTTTAAATTTATATATTTTCCAAAGTTGAAAAACATGTTTTCCATCATCTATAATATATCTCATAAAGACCTTTTTTGATAGACCGATTTATGAATAGAGTCAATCTCATTCCTCACTCAGATAGCGAGCTAAATCAAAATCACATAAAATTAAAAAAATATTTAAAAATAATAATTTCTAATATTAATCTAACCCTTAAAAAATAAAAAGAATTACTGATCCGTAAGACAAAATTCCCTGTATTTTCTCTATTTATTTATTTATTATTATTGTTATTATTATTTTGGAGAGAACCACTAGTCTTTATTCCCACCCTTCTACTGTAAAACCTTAAACCCTAGCTTCAGTCCAACAACTCATAATTCTCATATTATTATTCAAAGTCAAAAAGGAAAATTTCTGTTTTCATGTTCCAAAATGCTTCCTCTCTACGGCTCGTTTCCTCATCAACTCCAATCCTCCGCCCCACCACCTCAACAGGTAATATCTCTCTCTCGCTTTTCACGGACAGAACTTAATTCATATAGTTACTCTCCTAATCTCCTTTCATTTTATTGGATGTTATTATATTAATTAATTATTCAAAGCTTTTTTTTTTTTTTTTTTTTTTTTTTTGTGTTAATTTGTGTTTACAGAACTCTATGCCGTCTCAACCTCAATTGGGTATGAACAATCCTCAAATTCCAATCCCTTTTTCTAATAATTCCAGTAACTATATGAATAATGGAGTGGCTATGCCTATGCCCAATATGGTAACTCAACCCGGCTTCATGAATGGACCTAACCATCTTCTTCCTTCGCCAAATAACCATCTGGGCATGCCCCCTTTAGGGTCACTTCGTCCTATGCCTCAACAGGGGAAACCCCACGTGGGTTTTGGTCCACAAAGTGGTGTGAGCAATATGAACTCGGGTACTGCATTTCCCGTTCACGGGCAAGCGTTTGGGCACAATAATCTATCGAATTTACCGCAATTCAATCAGAATGCGGGTTCGCAGTTTGGGCAGTTTTGTCTGCCCAATCATACTATGCAGAATATGAACCAGTTTGTGCCTATGCAAATGCCAAATCTTCCTCAGTTTGTCCCTCCGAATGGGTTCGGGGTTATGGGCCAAGCGCCTCAGGCCACAGCTCTTCAAAATCCTAGCTTTAATTCGCACTTCGGTAATGTGTCTCATTATAACCAAATTGTACCGCAAGTTAATCAGAATCAGCATAACTTTCCCCTGCCCATTGCTGCACCTCAGCAAATGCAAGCAAACTCGTCGACCATTGTTTCTAATTCGTTTCAGACAGAGCAAAGTAATGACTTACAACCTCCAATGTTCATGGGAACACAGGTATCTTTCTTCTCATGAGTCTTTAGTCCATGTTAATTATAATATATTGCATTAGCATTGTTCTACTGGCCTATTTTCTATTTGTTGGAAAAATAAATGGTGTATACCCGCACAAAAGTTTTTGGTCTGATAAGACAAATGCCAATCGGTTTGCATGATTTTGCTAATACATGGGAAATGTAAATGGAACAAAAGTTTGTCTTTATAAGCACTATGCAGCACTTGCAGAAAATATAACTAAACTACCTACTTATGGAAAGTTCACTGCGCTTTGTAAGAATTTATTGGTGATGTTATGTTTAGTTGAGCGTTCATGGAAAAGATATTTCAATTTATTGATCGATTGAGATCACTGTTCTTAATTTCGTTACTTGGTTCTTTTGTCCTCATAGCAGCACTGGCATCCGTCTCCATACTGTTTTTATTACTTCCTGTGAATACGTTTCTCCATCTTTTATGATTGGTTTTGTCTTCCTTTAATTTTTTTAAGGGGGGTTTTTTTTTTCCCCAATTAAATTGTATTCAATGATTTATGCACTACTGGATGGGCTACATCTGTTGTCGTTCATGTGGTTGTTGTAGGGAAATCCTTCAAAAACAGCTGGGCCTAATATCTCAAGTTCCGGTTGGAAAAATCCATTGAGTAAAAACTTTACAAAGAATCCAAAAAGAGGGATGATGCAAGGGGGGTATGTTATTTTATGATCATTTTCTTCTTTTTTCCTTTTACATTTAGATGATTGGCTTGCCATTCTCAATGTGACTCAATTTATGTAGATTTCAGAATAATCAGTTTCATCACGTGAAAGGTGGAAAGAAAAAGTTTGGATTTCCTAATGCACACAAAGGAAGAGGTTTGTGGAATTTTCTTTTTCTGTCAAGTTTGTTCGTTAATCATTCTTAGAAACAATATGAGGCAGCAAAAAGGAAGTTGTTATGTGACCTTGCATTGTATATACCTCATCTTATTGTCTTTGTAACATATTTCCTAATATTAGGAATGTTGTCATATCACAAAACTTCTTTTATTTTAAATTAAAGAGACGAGACATTTCCATAAACTTTAGCACGGCAAAGCTAATGGGGAGACTAAGATAAACAAACACAAGTCTTAACTATTAACTCCATAAAAGGTTTCTCTATATGGCGATGCGTTTTGACTAAAACTGCTAGTTGAGCACGATTTCCAGTGTTTTTAAATTTTGTTAACTGTACACAGGGCTAAGCAATGAGAAGTCGGGCAAGTTTGGTATTGCTAACTCTATGGCACAAGGGAGGGAACAAAGAAGGTAAGTTTTGCATGATGCAAAGAGAGAGAGAGAGAGAATAGAGCTCTTATTAGTTCTTGTTATTTAGTGTAAATTGTTCTGAGGTGCATTTGTTCATCAATCAACTAGAGAATTTTTTTGTAGTTAGTATTTTGCTCCATTGTCGGGGAAAAAACGTAATCAATCGCCCTTTTTCCTTATTCGCTGTCTATTTTACACTTTTTCCAATAATGTCCAGCTTGCAGCTGCTGCTACTTCAGTTCTTCTAATGTTAGTTTTTTTATTATTATTTAATATTTCCTATGCTTGGGTGTTTTCACGCTATTCAAATGAGAAGATCTCTTTCTTTGACGTATACGGAACAAGAAATTCGACAGTGGCGTGAAGAACGTAGAAAGAACTTCCCATCAAAAGGCAACATAGAGAAGGTTTCATTTTCTGCAGTATGTATTGTCTGACTTTTGCACCTGTTACGGGGGTTCTGATAATTCTATGTCCCCCTTGCAGAAACTTACTGAAAAGCTGCTCAACAAAGAGGCTTTTGAGAGGGAAGCCAAACTGCGAAAAGAGGTACGTTGATTAACCTCTCTCTCTGATTTGTTTTCCATTGTTTTTTTCTATGATCGATATTTTCTTTTTGATCATAGAACTCGCAAGTCCAAGCTAGAATTGGCTTGTCATTTTCTCTGAAGTTAGGAAAGAGGCATTGAGTGGATCAATGTAAAATTCTCTAAGCAATCATCTGATCAATCTTTTAGCCGATTGAACCCATTAGGGATGCCTCTAGCATTAAATTTTCACCATTTCTATGTCTCTTTATCTCCTTTATGAAAATTCACCACTTGCAATTGATTTCTATTCTCAACATCAAATCGTTACTAAGAGAACTTAGGTGCTTCATTGCACGTGAAACCTTAAGAGTTTATTTGTGTCCAAATCACAAGACTATAGCTTTTACTGTTTCACGGAAGGGTGGCATATATAGGTAGCTTTACATTTCACAAGGATATAGAACGGTTTCATTCAACGGACAAAATTTGAATACCGAACGTATCAAAGAAAGGTAACTGTTGGAATAATGGTGGCCATTATTATTTGATTTGATATATTGCGATCTATAACATTGGTGAATGAGGTGAAGGGTACGGAAAGAGAGGGTTTCGACCCTAGGTAAAGTAAAGCCTACAACATTTCTATACCCCTTCTTCAAAAGGGTTCGTTGCTCTTTACATTTTCGGAAAGGGGTGAATATCAATGTCCCATTCATTGATGTTATTAAGTTAACCAAGTAAGTTACTTGGATAATGTTGGTTAATGCAATGTCACCTCTGATTACTTCATTCCTGTTTCTGACTTATCCATAGCTAATTCTGTCTCAATTTCATTTGCCTTGCATAATTGCCATTCCCAATTTTGATTTGTGGAATTCCTTGCTTGCAGCAACTCAAGGAGATTCTAGCCAAGCAAGCTGAACTGGGAGTTGAAGTTGCTGAAATCCCGGGATGCTCTCTCCCAGATCCAAGGAAACAAGGGCAGGGAAGAGAAGAGAATGGGAGGCCCTTAGCCAAGAAAGGGCGAATACGCAACAAATTTGATAAAAGAGGAAGAAATGATAACAGAGATCGGCATCCTAAGAGACAGAGGTTAAATGATAACGGTTCGTCGGCTGTTTGTGTGTTGAACAGGAAGCAACCGACGTTATTGAAGAAGCTTCTTAGCGCAGATATAAAGAGAGATAAGAGCCGCTTGCTGCAGGCATTTAGGTTCATGGTAATGAATTCTTTCTTCAAAGATTGGCCTGATAAACCTTTGAAACTTCCTTCTGTGATAGTCAAGGAAGGCTCCGTTGAAGAGGATGCGAATGACATCGTTCCGAATTCGGGGAAAGGTGACTTGGAGCATACGGATAAGACTGTGTTAGGAAAGTTTGACGATGCTGATCATAGTGACGACGACAATGATGGTGGTGAAGATGACAGCAAAAATAGTGACTGTGATAAACATGAGAACGTGGAAGAAGAAGAAGAGGGTGAAATCATTAATTAAAATTATCTCCCTCTATGCCGCCTTCTCCAGCATTGTATTGTTGTATTTATATGCTTTTCCTTTTGGTGAGCTGGGTTCTTCAGGTTTTTAAATTCGTGAAATTAAGAATTTGATGTTGAGTTTTGCTTGTTTGTAAAAAGCAATGCCAAATACACCCCAAAAAAAAAAAAAATGCAGTAGAGAACAAATGCAACCCTCAAAGTTATAAAAATAGGTAGAAAACAACCCTACTGAAACTGCTAAAGCACGTCATTGAATTAAAGATTGTATCATTATAGATAGATGAACATAGAGATCCAAGAACGGGCTGGCCCAGCCCTGCCCGTCCTGTTCTTCTTAGGCCCACGAGGGCCGTTGGCCGGGCTGGCTCAGCCTACGATTTTTGTGGGCTGGGCCGGACCGGGGCCGTATCAGAATGATCTCGGTGTAGCTCACACCACGGGTCAATTTTACGTGGGTCAAGCCGAGCCGTGCCGCAGGTCAGGTTGGGTCATGTCGTTGGTCAGGATGGGCCGTGTCATGGGCTTTGAATGAGCTGGCTCACTCAAGGCCTATCTTGGCCCATCATGGGTTTAGATAAGTCATCCCATCTACGTATGTAATTTAGGATAATTATACATAAGATGTTGACAAAATTACTAAAAAAAAGAAAAAAAAAATTAAAGATATTATGGGCCTAGATGGGTTGGGCTTGGCAGGCTCATTATGGGCCTAGACTGGCCGGGCTTGACCGGCCCATCATGGGCCTAGACGGGCTGGCCCAGCCCATGATTTTTCATGAGCCGTGCCGGGCTGGCCCATGAGCTGATATATGTTGGCCCAGTCCAGCCCACTAATATTTATGGGCTGGGCCGTACTTTGAACAGTGAAGGGCCGTGCCGGCCCGGCCTGTCACTGTGTCATGATAGGCCTGGGCCGGCCCACGGACCCCGGCCCATTGTTGCATCTCTCGATGAACATTAGAGAAACATTTAAAACATATTGGTTTAAACAAAATAGAAACAACACTATTGCAAACGCTAGAACGTTTCATTAAATTAATGATTATATAATTACATGAAATATTTGATGAATATTTTTAATGACAATATACAAAATGAAGATTTTGACAGACATATGTTCGATGGATTTACAAAGTATGAAAATTTTGAAAACAAAATAATTTGATGTATATTTTTAATGATCTTTTTTCAAAAAAAAAAAAAAAAAAAAAAAGTGGGAGTAAAAATGGAAGTTAGTTATGAGAAATCAAAATATGATAAAGTAACTCCTTAAAAGGGTGTTTTTAGAAGCCTATAAAATCAAATTCAAATAATTAGCCATAATAAGTGATATTTTGAAAACTAAAACACATTTTAATTCGCCCTTTAAAATAAAAGTAAGATTATTCTGGTAGGGTTGCTTAAATAGTGCTTGCAAATGAAAGTTTCTAGAATCTCAGATGATCATCGCTTCAAAGACTTGGTGCGATCATAAATACAAGTTTGAAAAGTCTCAAAGATTATTGTTGAAACGTATGTTTTAAGTTAAAAGAATTCTGATGAAACCGACAGAGACAAGAGAAAAGTTCTGGAATTCTTTTCCATTTATTATCCTTGGAAGTTTCTTCCACATACTTTTCCTTTTCATGGTTTGAAAAAAAAAAATGCTATTGGAATAATATGTATCAAAACTATCAAATTACATTAAAATCAAGTCAGATATATGAAATTTCATAAAGCTTAACAAGACGTCTGTTTTTTTATGGGAAAATTTTTTTTTCTGTTTTGATTGTACTATTATACATCACCAACAAAGAAAAGGTAACCAGTGTCGTAAACAATTAAAGTTGGGTGATCATAAATTTGTGTCTCTCTTTTTAGGAAATTTCTACGTTATGACTTATCCTGTTTAACCACCGTAAGAATTACTTTGTAATTATTACATTACATTTTCAATGGCTTAATTTGTGATTAAAATAATTTTGTAAACGCTTTGTAAATTTTTAATATGGAAGCTTACAGAGATTAGACCGTTAAAAATTTAAGGCAGATCCTATGATATTAAGAAAAACATGCCCTACTGTAGAAGTTCTCATCTTATTAATGTTAAATGTATAGATTTTTACCGCATCAAAGCAGTATGAAATATGAAGTACCAATATTTGCGTTAATGAAAAGGAAACTACTTAAAGGGGTTGTTTGTTGAGGAATTCGTATCCCGATTTAAATTATGGTTCATGGTTCGTTACAGTATTTTCTCTCATAAAAAATACACATAAATTAAAAATGATTCTAATCGCATGATTCTAATCTATGAACTAAACGTCTCTAAATTGATCAATAAGCTATGACAGCTTTTGAAAAAAAAAAAAAAAACCAAACAAACAAACAAAAAAGGCGAGACTTGTCCAAGAAAAGAAAAACAAGTTCCAGAGACTTATAAATATGTATAGCCTACAGGATTGGGATACCATTATACCATTCCATACACAAAAATTTAAAAGAAAGCAAATAAAATACACTTTCTGGTCTGAAAAAAAAAATATGGCACGTTTATAACTCGTTTTAAAATGATTTTATTTTTTATATAAAAATAAAAACGTTTTTAATCTCAGAGAGAAATTATTTTTGAAAATGTCTTTAGTAGTTTTATCAAGAGATTATTTTCAGTATAAAAAAATCCATTAATGTTTTTCTTTCTCTCTCTCTGCTTGAGAGAGGAGAAAATGAAAACAAAAAATAAAAGATGACCAAAAGTCGTTTTTTATTTCTCTCTCATTTTACACTAAACCAAAAAATCGTTTTCATTTCTATTTTTTGTTTTAATTGCGCCAAACGTCGTTTTGAAAACGTTTTCATTTTTTTTCTCCAAAAACGTAAAAAATAAAAACATGATGAATTCTAAATACGATCATAAAGTGCATGATTTTTATATTTGTCTCGTATCTAGAAAAGCTATTAAATTGCTACCTAATTCATTAAATGTGCATCAAATTTGCGCAATTGTCGACGAAATGTTGAATCAAAGTTATGGAACTAAGCCATTATCAATGTTCTGCTTACCTGATTTGACCGGAGACGCCAAATGGGATTTTCTGTGACGAGAATTAGACGCACACAATTCATTAGAAGATGAAAACAGTTAAGATGATGTTGTCAAATATATTAGTATATATATATATATATATATATATATATATTCTAATCATGTCGATAAGCTGTTAAAATAACACTCTTATCATGTTCATTTTCATGATGGGAACTTATGTTGTTCATTTCTTTCTTTAGGACATCATAATCTTTTAGTCTAATGTATATTTATTGAGTAATGTTGGGGACATCAACTCAAATCTTAATTTTTATGTATTAATTGATGTAGCACGTGTGTTGTCATTTTTTATTGATATAGATATAGTCTCTTTCATTAATTGACGTGACAATACTTTAAATACCCACTAATAGAAAAATGACAATTCACATGTCATATTAATTAGTACACAAGAGTTAAGATTTGAGTTGGTATCCCTAGCATTATTCGTATTTATTTGCTAGAGCTTCTAAACACTAATTCAGACATATAAGACCTTAACGCATTTAGCGACTCAACCGCCATCGTAACTCAAAACCACCAATAAGTTGATTGAAACGCTAGAGAGTAATATGTGTATCAAGTTCCAACAAATTAAGAAAACCACATACCACTATAATCGGTGGATAACTTGATCAATTGAGATGGAGATACTAAAAGCACCACGGCCTACCACAACACTGCAAACAAAAAAAAAAAAAAAAAAAAAAAAAAAAAAAAAAGAAAGACTTGGGGACTAAACATAAAGACTGCACAAGAAAGTGGAGAGAGCACTTCTGCCGTTACAGAAGTAAAACAAAAATAAAACATCAAAAAACAACACCAAAATGGCAGATGCAACAACACCATTATAGAACAACAAAAACTACTATGAAACGAACAAGAGCACTCGGTCTCACTAGAAACCCCATTGGCAACCCACCAACCACAGAAACTATTATGTATGTTTTCGGATTTTGTCAAAATCACATCAAAATAACAATAAATAAGTATGTAAGATTGACCAAAAATCATGAAAATTTAACGATTTAAAATGGCAAAGCTTTTGCTTTAATTAATAGAAGAAAAGAAACCAAAAGCTATGATTTTGCAGTTAGTACTCAAAACCATATTTTTGAAAAAGTTACATAGGCAAAAATGATTTTAAATTTTATAATAAACAATAAAAATGTTAAATTAAAATTAATAATGTTGTACTAAAAAAACTCTTAATAAAGAAAGTGATAAAAAAAGCAGCGTTGTTCAAAAGTAAAACCGTGCAGGTTCAGATCCAAAACAGATTATATCATACTAAGTGGGAGTGCGAGTCATTACATATGGTATCAGAGCCTCTACCAAGAAGAAAATGTGACGGACGATGACGTTGGGCCCCCATTAGGAGGGGCGATTGTGACAACTATCAATTTTTCAAGGCACAAGGCCAAGAAAGGGTAAGTTGTGCAGTCTCACATCGCCTGAGGATAAAGATGAGTCCTGGTTTATAAGAAATGACACTACCTCCCAATAGTATGAGGTCTTTTAGGGTGAAGCCTAAAAGTAAAACCATGCGAGCTCAGACCCAAAGCGGACAATATCATACCATGTACGGGTGCGGATCGTTAGCATTTTTCTATAATGTATTTACATATACAGGGACATACTCTCTCTTATTAGAAGATGAACACGCCTCTGTTGTTGTGACTCTCGAGCGTTATTAACGGTCATCCGTTAGTACTTTGTTTAATTTTTTTTTTTCCCAGCTAAAGAAGCTTGTATTGTTTGAATTACTCCATATTGTCCAACCAAAACCTTAGATGATTGCGTCTAGGAAGGAATAGACCATTAATCAGTTATCAGCATTCGTCCCAAGCCAATAATGCATCTAAAAATGCGTGATCATCAGCAATAAAGCACTGAAAAAAGGGTAAAATCATTTTAGTACCCTCGGTTATTTTAAAACATCTCGAAAGTATTACATAAAAATATGATTAAATTGAGCAATAATATCAATAATAAAAAGAAAAAAGAAACGATAAAATCAAATTCATCAAGTTCCACACCGAATTTATTCTTCTTCTACCACAAACCACAAGTTAGAAACAAATCACGTTATTTAGGGTTAAAGATTTCTCAGAAGA